CAGGAGAGGTCTGCCACGCCATGTGGTCACCTTCGGGGCAGGCGGAATCAAACTCATGTGGAAATGGCTGAAGCTTCTCAGCGCTGTGCTTTAATCCGCTGCACCACCAGGGAGGGCCGGATGAAGGGCTTTTAAAAAACTGTCAGGTAACAACATATTGCATTGTGAAAGAATGAAAGCTTTTCTTCTAAGGTTAGCAATAAGACAGCAATGCCTACTCTTGCCACATCTATTCAACATTGTCTTGAAATTTCTACTCAGAGCAACTGGGAAAGAACTTGGAGTAAAAGGCATTTACATTGGAACAGTAGAAATGAAATATACTTTTTTTAAGGGAAACATATATAATCTGGTATATAAAACTCTAAGGGGGAAGCTAAAAAACTTATTGGAACAGGCCCTCCTTGGTGGTGCAATGTATTGAAGTGCATTACTTCAAGCGAGCCGCAGCCGCTTCAGTGAGTGAGTTTGACCCCTTGGATCCCAGCCCTGGAGGTGACCCACATGGTGCAGTAGACTACTCCTGACCTGCCGGCTGCCCCCCTCAGCAGTGTACTTTGACAATCTGCCTGTTCTGTTCCCCACTCTGACTCTGGTGAATTCTCTTCACTGCCCCTGTACCTCTGGCCTGTACCCCAGTTCTGTATGCATAAATAAATAAACCTTTAGAAAACAACAGCAACAAAAAATATTGGAATAAGCAAGTTTGACAAAATGAGAAGGATATAAGACCAATATACATAAATCTATTGTGTTTTATACCTTTGCAAGGAGAAACATAAAATTGAAATATTGGAAACAGTCTCATTTTTAGTAGCATCAAAAAAAAAGAACAAATTTTAACAAAGCTAGTACAAAACTGATTCTGAAGACAATACAGATATTTTGTTTGTTGAAAAAAATATATTAAGATTTAAGTAAATTAAAGGATACATTGTGTTCATAGATCAGAAGACTTAATATTACTCTCAAGTAGCAATACAAACCAAATTGATCTGTAAATTCAAGGTAATCTCTATCAGAATCCCATTTAGCAGAAACTAAAAAAATAATAAGCACAGGGGCAGAAAATAGTCTAAATAGTCTTGAATAAGAAGACTAACATTTGGGAATTCACACTTCATGTTTCAGAACCTACTAAACAATTGTAATAAACCAGTTTGTTACTGGCAAAAGGGCCAACATTTAGATCAATGGAAAAGGGGAAAGCCTTTTGTAAATGCTATACTTATATCAGAATTGGTACAGCTTGATGGTAGTCCTAATAATAAACAAGTAATAACAGCAAAGAGTAAAACTCTTTAGTTAGTATATTCAGTATTAAATTGTCATATAATATAGATAACTCGTAAAACTGCAAAAAATTCATTACATTGGGATTTCAAAGTAAATAGCATAATTTCATTTAGAAATTGATAATTCACCATTGTATGGAGAGTAAATTTAACTAACATGGATTAAGAGAATTTTTTAAATTAAAAACATTTATACATGAATTTAATTTTAGATATAATCTTTTTGAACTGATATTAAAAAGATAGGCATCAAATTTAAAAATATAGTTTGCTTCTGACACATGATATAGTTTAAGAAAGGATTGTATTTGAGAATTAGAATGTACTGGAATTTGTAAGATTTTTAGAATTCTAGGAATTTAACTACCTTATTAAGGTGAACTTTATGTATATAAAATCATATTACTATTATTTGTTTATAACTTGTTACATGTCAAAGAGTAACTATTTAATTATACCTTCACATAATTTGTGACTTCAAGAATAATTATTTCTTTCACTCCTAATGGATTTTATTTAGACTTTGAAATATATTGTAGTAAGGCCTCTGCCTCTGGACTTATTTTTTTACTCACATACCATTATGCTTTTTAATATTTTAACATTTTGTCTGTAAAGTGATCATTTTCTACTTTCTCAGTATTCCTTGATTTGCAAAAAGGCCTGTCAAATCAAAATTAATTTTTCCACTGAAAATATTTGTCTCAGAATATTAAGACATTTTCTTCACAACATTTTTTATAACATTTATTACTTCCTTATTTCTTAGACTATAAATAAAAGGATTTAATAAAGGAATTACTAATGTATAAAATATAGCAATAGGTATATCATTTTCTCCCTTTTCAACTGAACTTGGTCGGATGTACATGGACAGAAGGGAACCATAGAATATTGAGACAGAGAGAAAGTGAGATGCACAAGTAGATAAGGCTTTTCCTCTGCCCTCTTTGGATTTCATCTTGAAAATGGTAAAAAGGATGAATAGGTAAGAGAGTATTACAATGGTAATAGAGAAGACTTGAACTGACCCCGAAAAGATAAAAATCATCAATTCATTGATATAAGGATCTGTACAGGAAAGTCTATATAGTGGAAGAACATCACAAAAAAAATGGTTGATTTGATTAGACCTACAGAAAGTCAATCTAAACAGAAATGCTACATGAATAATAGAATGTATGTTTCCTGCTATGTAGGCTCCTGTGGTCATCTGAACACAGAGTTTCTTTGACATCATGGTGTGGTACTGCAGTGGGCTACATATGGCCACATAGCGATCATAGGCCATTGCTGCTAGGAGAAAGCAATCTGCAGTTTCAGCCAGACAGAGAAAATAAAACTGGGCCATGCATTCATAGAGGGATATCATCCTGTCCTTAGAGAAGAAGTTCTCTAACATCTTGGGTGTGATAGCACAGGAACAACAGGAATCCATCAGAGCAAGGTTGCCCAGGAAGATGTACATTGGTGTATGAAGACGACGTTCCATAAAAATCAGTACCACCAGGCCAAGATTCCCCACCATGGTGATCACATAGATGACAAAGAATAGCAAAAACAGAAGGGTCTTCAGCTCTGGGTGATCTGTAAATCCTATGAGGATAAATTCAGTTGTCAAGGAGTAGTTATCCTTCATCATCTGTTGAGACAGAAATTGTAGAGATAAGAGATCCTAAGTTCTTTTTGAGGGAAATGTTTTTCTGAATGAATTTATGCAAACATAAATCAAGAGTAACATTTCATATAACATTCCAAACAGGTTCTGTGTCCGTTTGTATAAATCAATACTACTGCACTTGAGGAAGCGTCTACAAAGGAAATTATTTAAAAGTTACCATTATGCCAGACATATAAGGAACTCATACAACTCAATGGTGAAATACAAACAATCCATTAAAAAGAGGAAGTGAATAGACATTTTTCCAAAATAGACATCCAAATGACAAATACATGAGAACATGCCTATATCACCAGTCGTCAGGGAAATAAAATAAAATTACAGAGATTTCACTTCACATCTTTTGGAATGACTATCATTGAGAAGAGGTAATTGTGGAGAGAATGTACATTTAGGGGAATCCTGCACAGTGTTGGTGGGCCTCTATGATCCTCAATTCTACTTCTGAGGAATATATTAAAGAGCTACATGCACTACCGTGTTTATTGCAGCATTATTCACAATAGCCAGTGATATGAAAATAACCTAAGTGAATGTCAGTAGGCAATGGATACAAGATGATGTGATATAGGTGATGTGATATGCATATATATGTATACACTCATATATGTTCATTTGTGTAAAATAGGAAAATTTTTCAGCCATGAGAAAGAAGGAAACCCTGCTTCTTGTGACATGAATGAACATTTGGGACATTATGCTAAGTGAGATAACTCAAACTGAGAAAGACAAAGGCTTTATGGTATCACATATATGGGGAATCCAAAACCCATACTCTAAAAACAGAGCAAGATGGTGGTTACTAAGGCCTGGGGTTACTAGGGTGGAGAGAATAAGAGATATTATTTGAAGATTCACCATGCAGCTATTCGATAAATAAGTTCTGAAATCTAATGCATACTATAATGAATATAAACAATATTATAAATTATCAAACTTGCTTAAGTAACTAGGTCTCAATTATCCACACACAAAAAAGAGATAATTATGTATTGTCATGGAGTACAAACACCAAAGTAATAATCATAATATGTTGCATTCATAAACTTGTACAACATTATATATAAAATAATTTTCATTAAAAATACATTTTATCAAAAAAATAGGTATCTTTTGTCTGTTACTCATGTTAGATTTTCCTATTTTCTAAGAAACTTAGGTAAACTTTTCTGAAGTTTATCACATTTGGTTAAAGTCAATAAATACAGTAAGCTTGACTTCATGTTAGTTTTCTAACATAGAAAACAGAAAATTCTTTAAATCTTAATGTGGTTTTTCAGAACACATTTTGTTTTCCTTCACAATATCTTTCATCAACATTTAGTGATCCATTAGGCCATATTGACTATTGTGTCTGATCATAAACATTTGATGATCAAATTATTTATTTTCTATATTAAAAATGGAAAAATAATGGCATTGGCTGAAATTTTTAATTTGTATCCCTAGACCTCTATATTTTGAAAATCCTACCTTATAGTCAGATGTCAGCATTAATTGTTTTCTGATAGACTTTAGTTTTGAGATGACCTGGGAGGATAACCAAAATGTTGATATCTAAGATCAATAAAAAAATAATTATTATTCAGATAAATACTTATGCATGTTAGTATTAAAAGTAAGTATAAATTAGGAGACTTCTCTTACCTAGATTTCACTGAAGAGTTTTGTGACACCTCATTGTTTTCAATATGATGTTAGTTCTCATAATTTCAGAATATAAACCTTGGTCTCTAAAACATCTGGGATTAAAAGAATGAAAATCTGAGAGACTACTCAGTGTCAATAATTATGTTCCTTACGACACACAGTTAAAATTTTCCATCACATCCAAAAGGGATTTCCCAGAAATATCATCATTATATTTCAGTGGGGAGATTCAAAACCTAAAATATATAAACCACATGACATTAATTAAAGATGCTCTGAGAAAATGAGGTTTAGTGCTAGTGACCTTCACTAAAGTCATTGATGAGCATCTTACTGATTCTATGTAATTGGTGCCAGTTTTACAACTTTGCTCATTATTTAGTATAAAATGTAAAATGAACAGAATAGAGTCACTTTTGTTTGACCTCTTAATGGAGGAAATGAATGTGGTTTATGGAATTAATATAATGTATGAAAGATGGCTAGCATTTGGAAAGGAGACTAAAAGTGTGGCAGGGTCAATCCACATGATGACATCATCAGCTTCCCTCTGAGTTGTATTTGTTTGCAGGTCCTATAAACTCTTACTGGGAACTTTGCTGTTATTAATCCAGTGTATGCTGAGACTGTATTGTTTTTGTTCATTTTATGACAATTGTATATTGTTTATGTTGTTTTTCACCCTCATTCCCCTAATTGTTCAATAACACTATAGACTTACTTGCATATTTTTATGAATATATCTAGAATTAGTTATCCCAATCCCCCACCAGCATCAGCATTTAAGTTTAAGAAAGAAGGTACTTCAGTTATAGTCATTCCTGAATTTCCAACATTTTGAAAAATGGGTGGTTCTTTATTGCACTCAACAACTATTTGCAGAATGAATAAAAAAAGATAAACCTTACTCAAGAATTTTAAATGTTCTTTTAGCAGTTTTCAAACTATTATTTTTTTTTAACTTCTTCTGGTATTCCAGATGACCTACTGTCTGTCAATATGTCCCTTATTACCTTGTGTCCTTCCTCTCACTGCAAGACCTTTGGTCATGTGCATCCCTGCATTGTTCCTCTGTGTATTTGATTCTATTCATTTTTCATGTTTTCTTTACCTGAAGCACATCTTCTCTTTCTCTTCCCATCCCCAGCTCTATTAATCCTTGAGTCTCAGATCTTATCATCTTGGGAACTTTTCTGGGTCCTTCAAATAGAATTGACATTTTCCTCTTCTTGATGTGCATGCTACTTACCTAATTATACATTGGTCTTTCTATCAAGTATGATACTTACTGTGTTTTAATTATAAAAGTCTTGACTAAAAAAAAAAAGTCTTGTCTAATTGCCTAATTTACCAACCATGTTACACAACTTTTGGATTCCTGTCAACTAACAGCCAGATCCTCAATACATGCTATATTGATTGCTAGAATTTCAGTCTGTTTTAGCATTATCAAGTACTAACACTCTATAGAGTATTGGAAAAGACCCTGAGTAGGTACAGAATATGAATGTAGTGAGGTTAAGAAACTTCAGATTTTAGAAATGCTTACCGATAAGCTCATATTCTATGAGCTGACTATTTTTGCTGACTATAAGCAATTTATGCTATACAATGAAAAAACTGTAAATATATAAAAATATAGTGAAGAAAATAAATGTTGATGTGGCAGAAAAAGAGCTATCCCAATGCAAGTGCTATTTCATATGTATGTTTCAGGATAAGTAATATCGTAATAGTTAAAAAGTTAAAAAGATGAAAGAAGTAGTTTGAAGGAAGCACACGATAAAAATCCTAGAAGCTTTAAAGAGTAAGAGCTAATGAAAAAGTGGAGAATAAGATAGGGTTAGTGTTGCTTACTTGTATGCCATATAAGGAGATGCTTACCAGTAATATAAGATGAACTGGAAGTTAAATTGGAAATAATTAGTTTTTTTTCTTTTCCCTCTTTTTGTTCCCTTACAATTCATGGAGCCCTCTCTTTCATAAGATCACAACAAAACTGTAAATACCAACTCTAAAAAAATCTAGTTATCTTCTTAACCAAGATATAGTGTTACGTGCAATTGAAAGTCTTCATCTTGGTTTTTGTTATTAGCACTCACCTTTTCTACTTCTTTTCTAGTTAACAAAAATCTTACTTGGAGGATTGTTCACAGGTGTTTCCTGAAGGCAAACTGATATGTATATATATATATATATTGGATTTATGACTTGAAACTTGGCTATTTGGTGGCTTTTGCTTTGTGATTCTTATACATATAATTAATTAAGTCACAGTTTTACCTTTATATTAGATAGATGTGCTATTATTAGTACCACTAATATATTAAAAATCATGAAAATAAAAATTTTAAATGACTAAAATTGATGGTATTTTTTAATTTTGTGTGTTAGTGCCATGAAATTGTTTATTCCCACTGATGCTGTTACTCATTAAATAATAATTGCTTTGTTTTCAGAATGTGATGATATATGGCTTATTATTTAAATCCTAGAGAAGCACTATGATACAGCAATTTAAGGAATTGTTTGAATTATTTCTGAATGCTTTTCAACATCAGACAAAACTCCTACACACAGATACACATGCATATGAAAAGCATATGAATTTTAATAGGCCCCAGAACAGAAAAGGGCTCTTCATAGATCCAAAGTGTGGGAAACAAAAAGTATGAAAACATAATATGAATGTATTTAGGTACTCTTATATACATAGCAGTTTTATTAATACTAGCCACGTCATGGAACCAAGTCAAATGCCCACTGACAGATGACTGAATAAAGAAATTGTAGAGTATATATTCAGTGGAATACTATTCAGCTATTAAAAAAGATGAAATGGTACCTTTTGGGACAAATTGGGTGGATCTTGAGGTGATTATGAAACACATCAAAAAATGATGGTTACCAGATGGTTTTCTCATTTGGAACATATAAATAACCAAAGAAAATAAACTGGCAAAAATATACAAATATAGTTCTTATATCCTGTGGAAAATATACTTGTTACCATAAGGGAAAGGGCATTGGAGAGAGTAGCTGAGAGAATATTGTTGCTGAAATTTTGGTGGACACATATATGGAGATGTTGTATTCTCAGAGTTATATAGTTATATAAATGCTTGACAAACTAATAAAATTTAAGAGAAAAAAACCTGTGGGGTAAGCTGTTCCCTGGTGGGGGGAACATATGATTTAGCATGCCAGTTACATGAGAGGTATCTGAAGTAGGAAGAAATGTGTAGTTAAAGGAAAGTTTATGGAAAATGCTAATATAAATGACATAATCTTTTATGGTTTTGGAGCAAGGT